TATAAATCATGAAGGTCTTATATACTGTATGAGAGATAAGAGAGCAATCTTTCCACAGCTCTACTGCCCCAACTCTGTGTCTGCTGTTGCAATTTCCAGTTTTCAAGTAACAGTAGCAGTTTACAAACTCCAGTCAGTCACACAAAAGGAAGAATGGAAAGATAAAGAGCTAAAGCATGGGATTAATTGCTGTAGATATTTTGTCAAATATCATAATATTTATGATATTATGTCTTGTAAGAGGCAAAATATTGAGGCCCCTTCATCTAGTTTGGATGCGTTTCATTCTAATCGGTCAAAAACCCTAATTCTTTGTATGACTAGCAGCTTATGATTCCATTATAATGTTGAATTCAGTAGTAATGTAATGAGTAATGAGTTTACATTTACATTATTATATGAAATCACCTACAGTCAGTCATTGAATACTATAGGCCTAAACATGCGTAATTTTCTTTCTGGTATACCTTTTTTTGGTATATAGATGTATTTTTTTCTTCATCCTATTTATTTTTATTTATTTATTTTCATTTAACTTTTTGATACACAATGCCCTGTTGGGGCAACTTAATGGCTGCACTTTGTTCTGCACTATGTTCCACCACTTTAAGATAAATGGATTTGTTGTTTGTTGTGTTTTTATATTCAAGGTAGATGCAGCTTTTTTTGGGTTCGCATCGAATGTTCTTCAACTTTTATAGATAAGAAATGTGTTTATGAATAAAGATTGATCTGTTGAAAGCATTATTTCGAGTTAGATGCCAAATGTTTTCCTTCTATTCAAATTTGACGTTGAAGGTGTGCATACAACATATTTGCCCACCGGCAAACACATTCAAATACGATTTTCAATAAAAAAAGAAAAAAAAAAACCTGTGGAAAATAAATGCAGAAATGTTCACATAGGACACTAATAACACAACTATATGTATGAAACCATTCAGAAAAAAATGGGCACCAATGGGTTAACAAACTAAGCAAGTTAGGATGTCTGTCTCGAAAAAATTTTGTGGAATTAAGTTTTTTGAAACTGTGAGGTAATTGCTGATTGTTAGTTAAATCTAGATTAAAGACACATCTCTTTGGCCAAGCATTCAAATAATGCATCTCATAATCTTTTACTGCAGTTATATGAATGTATAACATGTGGCAAATATAAGATAACATTAAGTAAGAAGTAAACAAACATGTTCTCTTTTTACACCAAAAACATGCTGAATGTTGAATTAAAAATACAGGCAAAAAAGTAACATACAAAAGTAACAATGGTGTTGGTAAGCATTTTTTTTGTCTTATACCCCCACAGCCCCAGCAATAACAAACCAGAAATATGCTCCGTTCAAGCCATTACACTGGATATCATGTAGCATTAACTTTAATATTTTTATTTTTTAAATGCTGCATAAATTTGCTACAGTTTCTCAATGCTAACGACACAAGAATGGACTTGTGACATTCTGTCTAGGCACATTGAAAGAATGAACTTGGAAGGGCAGCAAGACATAAAATGTGTCTATGCGATTTCTTGAGACAAGTGTCACATAAACACCAGGCAGTGATTTTGCCGATTGGCTCTCTTACTTGGAAAAGGTGGTACTTTAATAGAGCTGCCATAATGGGAGTACCATTTTCTCCCATTCATTGTAATATCAGTGGTCTGTTTAACCTATATGCAGTCCCTAGCAATACTGCAGAAAGTTAATAATTTTATTTTATGTTTTGCTAATCACTTTGAAAAATGTGCCCTGATCCATGTATGTGCCCTCTAGAACTCTAGCACTCTCTATTCTAATTATATTCTTTATATATATTTTAAAAAAGCCCCTTTTAGACTTGCACTCTATTTATTTACTAACTGCTTGTTTTCTTAAAAAGAAAAAAAAAAAACACACATTTGTAATGCAATTTTGTGTTTCACTCTATTTTATGTTACCTTGTTACAGTGTAATTATACAGTACTGAGTAATTTTAATTAACTACATGTATTTACTATATGGTAACGGTTAGGATGAGGGTTTAGTTTAGGGTTAGCTGTATGTAATTATGCATAATTTATTTGTATTACTATAGTAGTACATCTAATGTGTAACATGGACTTTTTAAAATAGCTTTAGACAACAGTTTCAGTCCTTGAATTTGACTGGAAAAACTGTCTCTTTGAGTCATTGAATCATTTATTCAACCCATTTGTTCAAACCACTGATTATAATCAGTAATGAAACTAGTGCCTATGAGTCAATGAACCAGTCACACAGCCAATTTGTTTAAAACACTAATCATTCAGCAATGAAAAAACAAAAAACAAAAAAACCCATCTCAAATTCCATATTATACTGCAAAACTAATTGACATTGCCTTGAAACATCTGCAAGACACGATTAATTAATTATATTTAGTACAAGAACTTAACGTCATGAAGCTAAACACTCTGGACTGCACTTTTCATGCTGGTTTGTAACGCAGCATCACCTTTATAAAGCTCACTGTAAACACAGAGACCATGCTGAGCTTCTGCAGAGCTTCAAGAAAAGACTTTGCATGCTAAAAACATTGCATCGTCACACGTTCTGGTATAAAATTATGAATGGAGAATTTATTTAACTCTTTTAATTTGTCCTTTCCAGAGGAAGTGTTGTTACATTGCCAGATGTAACCATAAACTGTATTTTTTTATTATTCTTATGATTTAAAAAAAAAAAAAAAAACTTGCTACGTGTACTGCATTAAGCTAACTGAGACTTGTTATAGCACTTGTGTGTCATTGCTCTTTTGTTGATTTTGATTGCTTCCATTGTCCTCATTTGTAAATCGCTTTGGATAAAAGCGTCTGCTAAATGACTAAATGTAGATGTAATTTAAATGTAAAAACACATCTGTCATGTGAGCCAAATCAGTCAGGTTTGGGTCATATTCAGCTGTGGTTTGAATATATCCTGTTTCTATATATACTCAAACTCAAAATGAGACACACACATCCTTGAAAAAGAAGCACATACACAGGAACTGGATGAATCTGAGTTTAGATATGATCAGTATCCCTGAGCTCTAAAGATCTGAGCATAGGAAATTCTTCATAAAGTTCTTCATTCTCCTCACTTTCAATAGAATTCTGAGGGAATGTAGTGAAGCGTTGTACTTTGGAAACACTGCTGCTTGGTGACACATTCTCATACGGTGGGGGGCTGCCAGCGTCATCCGCTCCTAACAGAGGCTGTGTGGACTCAGAGCGAACGTAGGCTGGTGGACAGGATGAATGGTTTTGATATGGACCACTGAAAACCACTGTGGCATAAGGGACAGAATCCCTGTCGTGCTCTGAATCGTGTCTGACAGAGGTCTGGAATGAGGAATGACTCTCATCACAACTGTCGATGTCGTGTGACCACTGGTTCTCCTTGAAATAGTCACTCTTGAATGGCTCTTTCTCATCCAGATCAAGAAGACTGAAGTGGGACAGATACACCAACACGGGCTTCTTGTCTTCTTTAAAGGGAGGTATGCCCTTGGACAAAATCATGTTGAGATATGAATTAATCAAGCATGTTTGATTGACTTTTAAAGCCATTTGATTATTAACTATCGAAATCTATTTCAGATATTGATGAAAATAATCAGACCTGCATTGAATCAGTGGTGGTCCACCTCTTAATGCTGCTGTTGGCAGGATCAGGAATAATAGGCCACAAACACATCTTCACCCTATGAAAAACAGAGATACATTTAATTATATAATTTTTTTATGGTCTTAATACTCAAGAATAACAAGCCTGTGGATGCTCACCGTTCATGTTTCCCAATATAGGCAAACACAACAATGGCGAGAAGTGATAACCCAAGGCATGCTGGGATAACAAACAGCACCATTTCAATTCCATCTGAAAAAAAATTTCAATAATCAGTCAAACCAATAATGAAAAGACGTGTGTCTGCATATTCATACTTTCCCTCTATTAAAAGTCAAAATAATTTGTCTGGTGAACTGCATTCGCTGAGATTCTGGTGTACAACCAATGGAAACTTTGCTTTCCTATAATTGATTTTAAAATTAAAACGCAAGATGCGGTATGTTATATTACACTCATGCACGACTAAGCGTACTTTATCGGTTACTATGAAAAATCAGTGATAATGATTTGTAAGTTGTCATTGAAATGTTATTTGGCAATTACATATTACTATCATCTGTCTCACATACACCTACATAGGTATACGATAAAATGTGTACACTACCATTCAAAAGTCTGATGTCAGTAAGTTTTTAATGTTTTTGAAAGAAGTCTCATATGCTCACCAATGCTGCGGTCACGGTCTGCTGCTACTGTGTAGGAACGAGGAGACGAAGGAGCGAGGAGACATCGGAGAACATGATGGACGTTTAATACCAGACAAAGAACTCAAAACAGGAAACACTTTAAATACACAACTTAAACAGGGGAAGACGAGACACACCTGGACTCAAATTAGAAACAATCAGGGAGCAGGAACAGGAAGATAACCAAATAAGGACAAACAGGAACATACACATGACATTAATCCCCCCTCTTGGAAGGCGCGTCCCGCGCCGTAACAGTTACACCGTGGAGGGGGGTGGGGGGGGGGCAGGGCAACCTGGAGGC